CGTCAATCCCATGATGCATTAACAGGAGGACATCTCAGAATTATGAAGACACTGAGTCACCTACAACAAAGATTTTATTGGATAGGTATGACGCGAGATGTTGAAGAATGGTGCAGGACATGCAGTACATGAAGTGCTAAAAGGGGACCCAAGCGTAAGGGATGCCCATCTTATGAAGAGTTGCCTGAAAATGTGTCAGAGTTTGTGAAAGTGTTATCGGAAAGGATGGATGATATTCACCATCAAGTGTGTTCAAACTTGAAGACCTCTGCTGATTCGATGAAGTTAACTTATGATAAGAGATCTACTGAAGTCAGCTTTGTACCTGGAGACAAGGTATGGTTGTATAATCCCAGGAAGACCAAAGGGAAGTCTCCTAAGTTGTCTTCTCCATGAGAAGGCCCATATGACATAGTGGATCGTCTCTCAGACGTGACTTTCCGGATAAAATGTGGTCCGCTAGGTAAGCCAAGGGTGGTGCATGCCAATAGGCTTTGGCATTATAACGGTCCAGGACATTTCAGTTGGGATAAAGTGAACAACGAAACAAATGACACTGCTGAAGATGTGTCACCTGAAAAAGAGACTGTCGAAGAAGAAACTCGACTCGGTTTTGAGAAGTGAAACGGTGAAGCCCTTGATGAAGTTACTACCACTGATGTGACTGTTACCAATGATAGGACATTTCCTGATGAAGCAGAAGCCAACGAGACGGAGACCAGTGCGGAAGAAGATGCGTCCCGTCGAGTTAAGAGACTTTATTGAATTTTAATTTTGTGTTTGTAAATTCTGTACATTTAATTAAGTTATTGTTCATTGTTTATTGGTTTAATGTAAGTGGCTATTGTTCGGGATGAACAATATTAAGGAAGGGGCAGGGGTCACGTGACCTTAGTAACACGTCATATTCTCGAACGTTCACGTCCCTTCCTGAAGTCTCGAGAGACTACTAGATATGCGGTAGTCTTGTATATATATATAAGCCGCCAAAAAGTGGCGGCAACAATGTGTAATTGACAGTTGAGTCGAGCACGTGAGACGTTCGTTGTGAATTATAGGGTTTGTTATAGCGTGACTGTGGAAATTAAGTGTATTGCAAAGTTGTATTTAGAAAGAATAAACCTGTTTTATTTAAGAAAGGACTTGTATCACTAAAATTTCTTCGGAAAGAAATTATACGGAAAATTAACTAGCGACCAGAGGCGTAACAATATTAATGCTGTGAAAGATTATGTAAGTTAGCTAGTCACGTGAGATGTAACCTCGTGGCCTAACCACTAAATAGAAAGCCTTTTTTTTTATCTTAAACGGCTCCCCCGTGGCACAGCAGTATGTCTGCGGACTTAGAACGCTAAAAACCGGATTTCGATACCCGTTGTTGGCAGAGCACAGATAGCCCATTGTGTAGATTTGTGCTGAATTACAAACAAACAAACAAATTGATCTTAAACGAATTAGTTCACGATGTATAGTTAGAGAATTTGCTGATTTACAGTTGTTTGTGTGTGTTTTATTTTTTGGTAAGTGATAAAATTTGTTTTTCAGCAATTCTTTCAAAGTTTTATTTTGGATTTCTGTTATTGTTACAGTTCAATAAATTGTAGAGTCGTCAACTTTTGAAGGCCGTAGATAGGCCTAAATAAAATGTTTTTAATTGTGTACCAGTTTAGCGTTGAATATTATTTATGATTTTCGACTTAGAAAAATTTGATTAAAAAAATCCTACCTGAAAATGAGAAGGTGTGGTTTTTTTGCATACCAACTAATTACATTGCACATAAACGAACATTTAGAAAAATATTACTTGGAAGTACCTAAATAAAGATATGTTCCTTCTAGTTATGGAAAAGTGAAATTATCAACTCTTTCAATTGCGACGTACAGTGTATATACTGAATAATAATTATATACGAAACCGTACTCAAAGAACAAACTGAAGACGGACAATAAAAAATCTGAAACAAAAATTATTTATACAATATACATTCACTGGATTTTTAGTCGGGAAGGATTTTCCTGTTTAATCCGCTAAGAAACATTTTCTATAAACTTTCTTGTCATAATATGCTTTATTGAAATATTTATTTAACTGCGTACCATTAAAATATACCATTCTGTGCAACATGGCAGACGCTGAGGATTTGTTTAGTGTGTTTGAAGATGTACCGAGTACAAGCACAAATAAATTCTTGAAGAAGCATGAAAAAATACCAGAAGTGAAGGATGAGAAAGGATCACCTATATTGAATGAACATATGAGGTTTGAGTTACTCGTAAAATGTTAATATATATAGAGAGTAAAACTTACAGATCTGGACTTGTGTATGATTTGGGCACATTGCATTAAGATCCAAGTTACGCGAAGAAAACTATTTAGGCTTAACGTTGCCATGTGTAATATAAATGGTATTACTGTTGGTGTTTATTTGTTATTATAATATCAGTGATTAGTATACTCTTATTCCTAATTTTAGTATTGATTATTATCATGCGTAACAAAAGTTTGGTTTAGTGGATGGACCGATTGGTTCCTTGTTCTTAAAAGTTAAATTCTGTATGTTAGTTGTTACTGTTACTAAACTTTGTTCATTTTCATTTTTTTACCTTAGAAATTAGAATGACCAAATTGTTCATGGATCCAAGATTTTGTTAAATAAGTGTAGTCTAACATTAAAATTTGCGCATTACATTTATACACAGTTTCACAAGGAAGTATAGATTAAACAAAAGTAATTGATACCATAAATATTACACGTACTTATAATAATTACTTCTGACCCTGGAGTTCACTATGTAATGTACATTAAAAATTTTTTTTGGGCAGTTCTTTTCATTTAACAGGGCTAAAAATAAATATTTTGGCATAGTCATACAAAATGTCTACCCAAATTATGTGTGGGTTGGACATACGGCCTTAGATAAGTTAGAATAGTTCTACTGTGGACCTTTCTTTCATGAAGGAACTGTACCTTGTTTTTTAATTTGTAGATTTGATATATATATATAGATTTTCAGAAAGCATTTGACAAGGTGCCACATAAAATGGTTAGTAAAAAAAATTAGCTCTATAGGTGTGGGGTATAAGTTAGCAAATTGGATAGAAGAGTGGCTGGAAAGCAGAGGGTTGTTACAAATGGAGTTTAGTCAAATGTCACAAGTGGGGTACCTCAGGGCTCAGTCTTAGGACCTTTGCTCTTTTTGATTTACATCAATGACATAGATGAAGGGATAATCAATAAATTACTTAAATTTGCAGATTATATTAAGGTCTTGGGTGTTGCTAGCTGTGAAGAGGATGTTGCTGATTTACAAAAGGATTTAGATCATTTAGTGAGTTGGGCAAATAAATGGCAGATGGGTTTAAATTATTATTATTATTTTATTTTAATTTAGTTTTGAGGATGGAACAGCCGAGGTGGACCAAAAGGCCCCATGCTGTTCCAAAATATTATTTTATGTTATATTACTTATGGTGAAAACTTTTTTTTTTCTTATATACAAAAGCATCTAATCAACGACATGTTTAAAAGTGAACCAGAAGTTCAAAACTATTGAAAATTGTAATGAAATTTAATATTTTATAAGGAATATACTTAAAAATTACCAATGAAATTTTTTTCTATGCTGTTCTGGCAGCATGATTTATCGATGTGTGTTTACAGTTGTACTGCATAGTCTACATCTTTGCCATGAAGAGGAAGGTTTGAAACTATAAAATACACTATGCTGAAGTTATGGTTTGGCATGGAGGAAATTTTCAAATTATTAGAATAAATGGGGGAGGGGGAGAAACATCAGAAAGACATAAAAAAAGAAAAGAAAAGATTATAATAAGGGAAATATTTCATTAATATGTTGAGATGGAAGTCATCTTTGTCAGATATACCCAAATTTTGATTGGACAATGCTGTTCTGATTGAGTATTGTAACACTAATGACACCACAGGGAAAACCTGAAACTACCACTATAATGCAATATGTGAACAATCCAACTGGCAGAAAAGCCAGTGATTTGAGGGTGAAACCAGTTTTAAATATTTTCACTTCAAATGTATGTTATTAATTAAAACCATATTTTCAAAAAATAATATAAGATTCTCTAAACAATAACTATATATGTTTTTTCATGTTATGAATAATAAAAATATTCAGTGTAAACTTATGGAAGTGTTTGGTATAACTTAGAGTCATGAAGCTTTATACTAACATGATGTATACCTATTTCATATATCAACAAATGTATTGAAATTTATTTTTCTTCAATATATTTTACTGTGCAAAAGAATGCATGGCATGTCCACTTTAAGAGTTAGCAGATAGATGATGTGAAAATATTACACATTTTGATAATATCATACCCTTAATTAGATAATGTTTGTTTCACCATTTCTTTGTTGTAATATTTGGCTATAAAGTATTCATTTTCTGCTAAGAAGCCTCTTGTTGCATTCTATTCAAGTAACTTACCCATAATAAATTTAATATTGTGTATGTAACTGAGCATCACTAAAAGTGACTGCTTCATATATTATGTGTAACCACAGTGGCAAGTCTGATGGCTTATAATGTTAAAAATCAAATTTCAGTACCTGCAGTGGGATCATTTCAGATAACAGTTTGTGTAACTTTGTACTTAACAACAAAACAGTATATTCTAACCTACTATAGTCATAATTGTAGAATAATAACTTCTAAGCATTTAATCAAAATACTACTTGGAACCAGTAGAATATCATTTCAGTGAAAGTTAAAAGCAATTTAGTTGAACTTACTGAATTCCCATATTTCTTAGGACATGCTACTGCTACTGATCTATTTGACAAGTACTTCCCTGTCATCACAGGATTTGATTCTAAAATTTATTGATATCCATGGATAGCCCCAATGTTAATTGGAAATTACGTGAAATGTTATCAACTGAAGCTAAGCAACTTAATCCAAAAAGAAACCTGTTGCAATTTGGATCTTGTGGTTTCCACAATCCTTTTAGAGATGGATGTAAAGCAGCTGACTAGAAATTTGAATAAACTCTGGCAAATTTCTACTATTTTTACAAAGATTCTCCAGCTAAAAATTAGACAAGATGCTTGGACCTTCAACCAAAGTCATATAAGCTCTGATGGCTGGAGAATATCAGTATTGTGGAAAAGTGCTTGTCTCTGCTCATTTATCTCAAAACATATGTGGGTACACAGCAAAACCCACCAGAATCAAAACACATGACAGTATTTGTGAAATTGTTAATTACAATCTCTTAATCCCCAAAGCACAGTTTTTTTCTCAGTTGCTAGAGAAATCTAACAGTTTCTCAAAGAATTCCAGAATGGTAAACTAATGTTGCCTCTTTGGCTGAAGATGTCTTTGGTCTTGTCAGGGGATTGTTGGAAAGATTTATCATTTAAGAATGACTGGAAAACATAGCTGGATCACAACACATTGCAAGCCTGGATTTAAAAGACAAAGATTTTAAAGGAACCTTCCAAAGTTGATACTGGTTTTGTTACATAGAAAGTCCTTAATGTGATATTTGTTAATCATTAAATTTAGTTAATACAGTAAACCTCAAACCATGGTACACGTTTCCCCCTCATACAGGCAAAGAAACAGCAGCACAAGAGATTGTGATTGGTGCTGTCAGCCAATTGCTTTCTTTCTAGTCAACAGTTCAAATGTAGTGGCAGATAGCCTTATTGGCTTATAACGATGACAGAGAACACAAGTTTTTTGGCAATGGGAATCGAATCTGAGACTTGATTCATAGGCTGGACCAAAGTTGAACAAATTTTACAATAAAAAATAACAGCAACTAAAATTTGGTTTTGATACCTACAGTGGGGAAAGCACAGATAGCCCATTACATATTTTAGCACTTAACAACAAACATTGGCAATATTTCATTTACTTGAATAGTTTGAGTAATTGAATATACTAATAAGTGCAAAATCTTAATTTTGATTAATCGATTGTTGAAATAATCAGAAATACTGATTTCAGTTAGATGAATATTTTCATGACAATCCATTAATCATAATTTATATTGATCAGTTGTTGGAATAATCAAATACAGTAATAATTGGAAACATTAATTTCAATTATTAATGATATCACTGCTCATAGGTAAAATCAAGCATATCTAATCATGCTAATGAGTAAGCTCAGAAAAATACACATTGTATAACCTGATTTTAGTCTTAGTTTTGCAGGTAAAGTGTAAAGAGCAAATACTTTGTCTTTGCATGAATTTTTAATGTTTTGGACTTAAATATACTTCCCATTTTTAAAGTTACTGTGGGTTTTAAGACATGTAATTTTACCACATTCCTATTTAAGACAGATAGGTTTAAAATGCCAGTGTATGTATACCCATTTCAGTATATTAATACATATTCTTTTTTCTATTTCTTCTCAGTATATTGTTAGACTCTGCACTTACATTGGCTTTCATTTAGTAATGTTATACCATAACCAAGTTTTGTATTGCATGCTGTCTTTAAGTGTTTGATGTGGCTATTAGTAAATATTAAAGCAATTTTATTGAAAAACAATGGCTTATGTAAATTATAGTATAGGTGTAAAACTGTTTTTCCAATGAATCTTTTTAATACTGATTGAGTATTCGATGGAGTTCGAAATGTATATAAAGTATGCACTGAAAAGTTATAATAGACCAAAGAAAGAAGTGCAGTAATCATCATCAAAGTATTAAAGAAATTGGTCTTTAGTAATTTTAATGTGTATAGCTTTCTTTAAGATAAATTATATTAAACTTCATGTATTAAAATAATTTATGGGCAAACAGATCTGTCAAGCTTGTAAATACACTTTATTTTATTTTAGTTCTGATGACTTTGTGAAGTCTGTGATTGAAGGAAAACGTGGCTTTGGTGATGATGAAGAAGGTGAAACTCTGGCTAAAAAACAGAAGACTGAGTGCTTACTCGATGATATTAAGTAAGTTTTTAGTTCTTGTTTGTTTGTTTAAGAACTATTTACATATAACACATTTCTATTTATTAATTCTACTGATATGGGAGTGGTCAAAATGCATATGTAATATCTTTTCTTACAGAGATTCAGCTTGTAATTCATGTTACAAACGTAACCTTTTCTCTATGTTTTACTTTGTGTTTACCATTTTATTGAATATTTAAGTAAATTAGTGATTGATGATACTATAGCATTAGTAAATAAATATCATTGTAATATTATTTTCAGATTTCACTAGAGATGGAATAAGTAAATTCTGTTTTCTCTGATTGGAAAAATTACCATTATTCAAACATGCTATTATTAAATAGATGTTAGTACCAGTAAATGTTTCCACTGATGTTAGAGGGGGGGGGTGACTTCACTGCTGCCAATAGTGCCATTTATTGACTCAGCATAGTTACTGAACATAATTTTTGTTATCATACTAAATATTGGTGTCTGTCTAATTATAACTTAAATCAAACTAAAGAAATTCTCTTTGTATGTTTATAACTCTGAATATACAATGTGTGTAACCACACGACTCCACTACTGGTGCTGAGCTCACCAAAAAAAAAAAGTTGCTCTCCATGTGTTTCTACTAATAATAATCATTTTAAACTATCATTAAAAAAATATCTCTGTGAAAGTCTCCCATATTTTATGGCATGGGTGGCTGGTGACCTTTTTGACAGGTAAGTAATTTAACAAACTGAAATCAATATGGGTCACATCTAGTAACTTATTGTCCTTTCAAGCCTGCTTCAAACTTTCTGATTGCTCTCCTGTTCGCTGTTCTTGTGACATGCATATTGTTCTTTGTTTGAAGACTTGCCATTACTTATTCAGAAATGTTAAGTCATGAATGAAGCTTTAGTAACAATTATTTAATTTATTACTATACTCTAATATATTATTACACTTAAGCATAATTATTGATAAAAAAAAAACTTTGGTTTAAGAGTTTTGATTAGGGATATGGAAATTCTACAAGAAGCAATGATTCATGTGCCTCACCTGATGAACTGATGCCATTTTACTGACAATCAGCAAATTTGTTGATTGGATTTTGATTTTGCGATTACTTTTCTATCACTAATATTCACTTAAAAAGTATTGCAGGCCACACAGGCATAAAAGTTGGTTCAGTTTATGGGTTATCCTGCTGGGTCTAAAAACAAGTTTTTCAAAATTTTACCTTTTATGGTGAAGACTATTTCAATGATCACTGTTTTCTCATAGTCATTTGTAGTAAAACATCATTCTACTCCTTCTGAAGTTTCAATATACCATGTTTATGGTAAAGTATGATATATGTAGAAGTTTAATTTTAAAATGTTTATGAAAAAATCTGTGAACCTTGTATGATATCAAAATACCTTAGTGTTTAAATGACATATTTGATGCATTGCAAAGTAGCTGTTTTTGCTATTAATTCTAAACCTTAGTTATTCAACCAAGAACATATCTTAGGCCAGGGAAATAAAAACATAAACATTACTGTACTTTAGTTTTTAATCATATTTACACTGAAAATTAATATTGGTTTCATTTGCACTAATATCATTAGACATAATAACAATAATAGAAAAATCAAGAAATTAATAAAGCCAAGTTTAAGGCTTAAAAAGTTAAATAATTAAAAAGATCTAATTCTTGACAGACAAGATAAATTTAATAAATATTTTATTTCTTATTTTATAGGAAAATTATAAGTTTAAAGGTGTAGGAAATAATCTAACCGTGACACAAGAAGACAAATTAGAGAGGTACATGCTTGTTGCACTGAAAATGGATATAAAAAACAGGTCTTATAGCCCATATAGAAAAATGCTATACATATTTTGAAAATTTTATGTGCTAAACAATCCAGTTAGACCCATTATAATAAATACTGTAACATGTACTTATTTCAGTTTTTGATTAAATTCCTTTAAAGCATTTACTGATATTGAATCTGTAATATACTTTTAAAAATGAGTTTGAATACTCTTCATATATTCAAAATTTAAAGTAGCTTGATGATCCAGAAATAACTTCTAGTTTGAATGTAGAATTATTAGACATCCTTCTGTCTGAAAAAGTAAGAAACTTCACAAACTTTGGCCTACCTTCAATGAGAACAAGGGAAGTTTCTTCTAAAATGTTAACGCTGGGAAGCTTCTTCTAAACATTAAATACATTTAAAGCACTTATCCCATCTATCCTGCAGAACATATTGCAAAACTGTAGAGTTGAGTGATTAATGGTATTTGTTAATGGATTAATTAGTGGCTCTGTTATTGATTACATTTGTTTAATGGATTAGTACAGTGTTCTTCAAACTATGGAAAAGAAAAACGTAGGTATTGGGTACTGCCAGTCAGTTGCCTTCCCTTTAGTCAACAGTCAAAATTAATAACTGGAGCAGATAGCCTGAGGAGTTTTGCTATAACAAAGTCAGGGCCAGCAAATTTGTTAGTTTGTTTTTTTGCTTGGATAGGTGGAATAATTAGAAACCTTAATATCATTTATTTTATTATTTTCATAACAGCCATTATTCAATTAATTGATGGTTGGAATAATAAAAAAAATGTTTTAATTGGAAACACTAATTTTGATCAGTTGACTATTTTCCTGACAGTCAATATAATCGGAATTTTGATAAATCTATGGTTAGAATAATCAAAAACATTAATAATCAGAAACACTACTTTCAACAAATTGATTTAATCATGATTTTAATTAATTGATTATGTGACATGACATTGATGTAGTTGCTGCTCATAGGTAATTTATTAAATCAACCAGCTCTAGCAAAGTTTATTATTTTTTTCACTTAAAGTTCACAATTGATTTCTTGAGATGAAATTGAACGTGATAAATGTGGATCTTTTTTGTTCTAAGTATAGTGTGGAATATTCAGGTCGGAAGATACTGTACTCATTTATGCTTGCTATTTAAACTCACCTTTAGTCGTGTAAAAGAACACAGCAGAAGTATACAGGAAAAATTTAAAGATGTACATGTGTTACATCGAAAATTATAAACTAGAAAATTTGATTTGTCAGCCCAGACTTTTAAAAGGTAAATTTTTTATGTTTTTTTGTAAAACAGTGGTTGAAAGGACATACATGTTCTAATGCTATTACATCTAGGACAATAGATAATACATCAAAGAAAATGTTTCAGTGCCATTTCTAACTGCATTGTAGAACAGCACTGATACTTGTATTTCACTTCTCTTATTGATGACTATGATTGTAGCCTGCTTCAAAGTAAGAGAAAGAATCTCTTATGTATTACTATAAAAACACTTTGCCTGGATGTTATTATTGATATGTATTATACTCAGGTGGAAGTAATGAAATCATATCACTAACACTTGTGAGGGTAATACTTTTTTATGGTGTTCTTTGTTTCCTTTTTTTGGAATTGTTAGTATTTAGTGGTTTTATGCCTACCTGAATTACTTTCTTCATTGTGGTAAAAACTGGTGTATATTTATCATCTCTTGTTACATTATCTCTCTCTGAATATGGGCTAGGTCATTTTGACTGACCTTTTAACCACCATGTAGTCATGAAACTATACATACTATAACTCTGAATTTATTAAGTGTTTCTTCGTGAAATTAGCAAGTTTGTTGTACACAAAAAATAAGATTTTCTAATAAAGTATTTTTATTAAATATTTGTCTGTAAATTTCTGAAGCCTTTACTTGTAAAGATATACCAATTTTTGTAACACAACTTTGTGTTTTATATATGTTTTTTTTTTTTGCCATGAAACTAACTGTAGCAAAAGTTGAAATGAAATAAATCTTTTTTTTTTCAAGAATGACTGCAGACTGTAGCAAACAATTATAATTATTTATATTAAAAGCTTTATGCTTCTTAACTTTTCACAACTGTTCCAATTTAATTTTATTGTTTTACTGCTCTTTGGACTGTGTCTAACTACTACAAGGAGCAATATATCACCCAATGGGAGTGTAACATTTAGGGTAAACAAAGTTTTAGGTTAGGTAATGTGATATCCTACACTCCTTATCACAAAAATTGTTTTTCTTTTACAGTTTTTTGTATAACCTAATAAATTTTCACATTTTAGTCACTTTTGTCAAAAAATATTTAACAATAAATTAAGAACATACATAAAGAACAAGAAATTTATAACTTACCTTTGTCCTAGGCCAATTTGCACTCAGGTGCCTGTTTTTGTAAGCCTTCTTTTTCTAATTAACTTTCTTGTCCAAAATGTACTTCATTTTGCTTTCAGATACTCAATTCAGAACAAAAAATATATATTAGGCACTTAAATAGAATGCCCCAAAACTACTAAAATTTATCTGACTTTCTTAGCTGTAAACAGGTTAGATAATTTCCATTACTCTTTGGAACACTGACTTCAGTGTACATACATCAAGATTCTACTATCAAAATAGTGGCTATCACCAGAAAAACAAAACAGACTATCATCAGAACCACATAAATCACAAAATGGCCTTTCTGCTAGTTATAAATGTGTACCATTGTCAAGTAGGCATGAGGAAATAAATGAATTCAAAAGCAGGAAGGGTTGGGGATAAACTTAATGATATCCTAGAAAGTAAAGAAGGTGGGAGGTTTTTATTCTATTTTCTAACCTGTCAGTATCTATACTTTGTGAATTTAGCTGATGAAAGCTCTGAAACCCATATAAAAAAAATTAGTACAGAGGGTCACATGACACAGGGATATTAAAAAGTATTATTTCTTAAATATTTTCTTTTGAAATTAATATAGTTAAACTTGGATGATTTAAAATTTATATTATAAACTATGTTTTAATACAAAGTTTAGTGACATATATTGCTAATAAAGTAGTTTACATTTTGAATGTAATTTTATAAAGAGGTTATGACATGCACACTTTGACTCCCTACCCCCCACCTGTGTACAGAGCATTTACAGTAGTTCCCACTGCATAAACAGTCATTGTTATCCTTTTTGTAGATTTTACATACAGTATGATAATATTGTACTACATTGTTTAACATTTGGTAGAAGTGGTAATTATATTTTGTAGTAACAAAGTTGTATAACTTATCAAGAAATGCAGGGTGTGTTTAGTTTCCATGAAAATCAGATATTCAAAAAGGACAAATAAAAATGCAGATCCATTTGTCTTCTAGGTAATCATTTTGTGTGCAATGTTTCTTAGTCTCAATTTATATGTAATTATTCCAGATGCAAAGTTTAGTTTAAGTTCTCCTGTGTCAGTGGCTTTTGCCAAGACAGATAATTAAACATATTTGAAGCTAAGTTTTTAGTTATTTTCTACTTAGCATTATTCATTTTGAACTTTTTTTTAAATGAAAACTTAGAATATGAAATATGATAAGTGATATGTCACAATTTCTTCTTAGCCCATCAGATTATTCTTCTAGAATTCAGATTCATACCGTGGAAAGTTTGGAAGCTTGCTTACATGAGGTGAGTCATCTCCAAAAATGCATACTTATGCGCGTTTTAAAAACGTTTTGACCATTATTGTATTTGAGAAGAAAATACCATAAGTTAATTGTATGAAATCATTAACAGGAAAATAATGACTGGTGCATTTCATTTTATCTTCTTCATGGAGAAATACAACAGGTTTTGAAGTTTGATCAATAGTTTTAATTTATAGAATTTTTTGATAACTTTGTATTTTTTGTTGGTCTTTTTTGTGCTTTCAAGAATTTTTTCCTTTACAAAAATTAACCCTTTCTGGAGCAGTGATTACCTTTCAGTTGTTGAGTGCAAACCTGTATCTCAATTGTAAAAATTTAGTATAAATAATAATCCTATATTCAAAAATACT